AGAACCTCTCCATGGAACCTTTATATGCACCTGCTTGTATTCAAAACCCTATGACTCTCAGGTTCAGTTTTGCATTTTGGTGTTCTTGGGTGTGCTAGATGTCCATTATTTCCCGTCTGCTTTCTTCTATTGAATGCTGATATCACACAGGTCCTGTAACTTCAGCCATTTGTCCCTACCTGTTCATAATTTGAGGTTTGAGGAGATAACTTGTCACTCAATTGTACTGAGTATATTGTCTATATATTTTTGACTTTGCTCTCCTTTTGCACTGTTATGTGCAAAGAACTTTTTTTTTTCATTTCTGTAACCATGTCCTCAGAATCTCTGAGAATTTTTTTAAATATGGGAGGCATGACTAACAACTTTTCAGGCCCTGATTTTTTTTTTCTCCTATAGGTTTTCTTATCCCTTATCAACCTTTGAGAGCCCGGGTTTAATTTCACTTAAAATTTCCTTACAAAGCATTGCAATGGTATTTTGTGAATCTTTTTACCCCATTTCTCCAAATAAGAAAACTCAAGTTCATACAATATATCCATTGTTGCCTCATGAATGGTAAAGAGAGAAATAGCAAACCTACTGACAAGAGAGCTAATCAGCTAAATGAGGGAGAGAGCATCTCAGAATTATCAGGTAAACTTTATAACAGAATAGATGCATTGGGTATCTATATCTGATGGTAGCTGACAAGGCCAGGCCTTGAAGTCATGCTCATCTCTAGCCAAGAAATTTGCACATTGACCTAAATTCATAAGTACCTGGATTTATACCAGGTTTTATCAAACTGTCATTAACAGTTCCATGTTGATGAGAAAAATATCAAATTATACATTCTTATTTGGATTTATTTAAGATATCTTATCTAAATTATCTGTTTTTTATGGGTAAATGAAAACTCATTTATTTATTTATTTTTAAATATTTTATTGGAGAATTGGGGGAGGGGAACAGCGTTCTTCAGTCTAGCTGTGGAGGACGTCGCTTAACTCACCCATTTTGGTATTATCATTACACTCTTCCTGGGTGAGGCAGTTGCCCACCAGCCACTGGACAGCCACTCATTGCAGCTCACAGCAGCTCACAAAAGCGCACGCCCACTGCCGGCCAGCCCCACTGAAGCCTATGCCATCACTGGCAACTCTCAGGAGCCCAGCTCCAGGTCGAGCTGTTGTTCACAATCTTAGCTGTAAAGGGCACAGTGTCACTGGCCCACTTGTGGGATCTGAACCAGGGCCCTACTGCTCAGAACTGGCATCCCAAGCCAACTCCCAACCAACACGCCACTTGGCCGGCCCAAAAACTCATTTATTAATGTTTATTAATTTAATGATAGATTCTATTCTGGGAAGTGTCATCTAGATTTTATAGAAACTCTATGAGAATTAGAGAAAAGATTATACTCCCCTTTTTATCAGCTTTCCAGACCTATGGCGAACCCTTACATTCAGGCGAGATGATCACAGTCCAGGGTTGACCATTTGTCTGCTAAGGCCAACTATTATAACAAAAATCCAGTCTTATTGCTCAAGAAGAACCAAATTATTCTACACAACAAATATTTATTATTTAATACCATATGCCAGACACAGAAAATTAAGACATGGACCTTCTCTTCAGATAGCCACTGAAAGGAATGCACACACATCAATAGATGTACAAGTGCAGTGGAAATGTTTATTAGATGAGCCAATTCCATTTATAAGGGTGCAAGGAAGTCAATGGATATCTGGTATAATTTTGACTGATGAATACAAATATTCAGGTCAGGCCTAAGTGTAAAGACCTTGTTCCTAGAAAGAACAAAAGATGCAAAGTTTCAATGTTATGAGGAATGATTGAACTTTAACTTAAGTGCTGGTTTTCAAAGGTAGTAAGTTAGAAAAATCTAATCTCTTTAAGGGTCTTATGTACCAGAGACTACAGTAGTCCTTCCTTCTCTGTCAGGGGTATGTTCCAAGACCTCTGGTGAATGCCTGAAACCATAGAAAGTACTGAAAATACACATACTATGTTTTTTCCTGTACATACATACCTTTTTTGTAAAGGAACATTCTTTGGCATGTTCAAATTGCCAGCATCACTACTTTTGCATTTTGGGGTCATTATTAAGTAAAATAAAGGTGACTCAAACACAATCACTGAAATACTGTGACAGTCGATCTAATGACTGAGATGACTACTAAGTGACTAACATGTGGAGAGCGTATGCAGTGTGGATACCTTGGACAAAGGGTTGATTTGCATCCCAGGTGAGATGGTATGAGATTTCATCACACTACTCAGAATGGCACACAATTTAAAACTTATGAATTGTTTATTTCTGGAATTTTCCATTTAGTATTTTTGGACCATGGCTGACCATGGGAAACTGAAACCACAGAAAGCAAAATTACAGATAAGCGGGGACTACTGTAGTTGGTCCTTGCTGGTCATCTCCTTCACTACCAAATAAACTTAAGCTGTATAAACTATCTTTATAATAAAACTGGTCCAGAGTTGACTTTGGGATAGTTATCCACACATTGCTTTCTCACTTTTTTTATTTAGAAAGTTAATCACATGTCTTTACATAAATACTCTAGAGGACAGGAGATCCAGGTTTATATTTCAGGAGTCTTGATCCAATAATGAAATTATCCAGATGTAAGTCTCCTTCATTATTCTTTTTTTCTTAGCCTCACTTCTATCTCCCTTGTGACCAATTCATTATTGTATGAACTTTGTATAAATAGCTAATATGGAGAAAGAAATAAGGAGAAATACTAATCCATCTATCACTTGTGAACAGTGCTAGGACAATTTCTGTAAGGTAGAAAGAATGTGAATATATTGCCTAAGGTTAGGTTGGATTGTCTGTAGATTTCATTCACCCATACTCCCCTCTTTGCCTGTTTCTATGGATAAAGAGTTAATAGGAGAGTTAGCTGAAATATTGTTTTTCAATATATTAATTTCTAGAAAGTGATTATCAATGTCCACATGGTTATGAACAACAGGTTAGGCTCAAGAGGATATTTTACAACCATATCCACTAGACATAGAGATTGATATACTCTGAGGTCTGAGGGAGGAAATTCTTAAATCTTATCAAATTATATGCCTATCACTATACCTGTATCTCACCTAGGTTTAGATGAGGAAATAAGGTACAGAGTAAGTATGTGAATTGTTCAAGGTTACGTAGTAATTTCAATTGTGCATGCATGCATGACTGTGTGTGTGTGTGAGAGAGAGAGAGAGAGAGATTTTCTCTTTTGTTTAATTTGCTGGCATAGACTAAGCCTGTACATAATTCCTTATACACATTGCTTGGTTCAGACATTAATTGATTTTTTATAAGGTAGGAAAGGTGTAATCAGGAGTATCTACCAAGGTACCTTCATTTTTTTTCATTGGCAAACCATTTAAGTTATTGTTCCTTTTTATGAGAACAATCAAATTAATTGGTGAACTAGTAATAAATTATTGGTAAGCGTTTAGCATGGGATTCATTTACAGATAATTAAAAATAATTACCTGGTTTTAATGGCCCTTCTTGATAATCTAAAGACAATTCAATACAATTAAAATATTAAATTACCTTACAAAAGTTGACAGATTTTCCAACTGTAAAGTCACATGGACAGTAAATGTGTTTCAATGGCTCCAAATATCTAAAGTTAGAAAATTTTGTGGCATTTTTCTGTATAGTTCAGTGCAACCCAACATTCTCATTTTGATAACAGCCAAGATTCAGTTTATAGGGTGTGTTCTTGCTACAATATCTGAAAAGTTAAAAAGATAAAAATTGATAAAAAACCCCAAATATGGAAATGATGATTTAGTGACCTTCATTCAGATACTTTTATTTCTCCTGTGGTTTAAGCATCTCTGTGCCTCTTAGATTTCTGGGTCTGGAATTGTGTTGTGACCATATTTAATGGTATTTATTCAACAACCACTGTGTAAAAAATATACCAAGATTTTCAGGGAATGACATGGGAAGCAGAAAGCATGATCTATCATTCCCTCAAAGAGTTTATAAAGGAAGGAGCCAGGATAATAAAGAATAATAATATTAAAAGGGCAGGTGTAACACATAAGTATATATGTATGCATATAGTTGTATGTTTAGAAGCAAGCCCTGTAGAGTAATTCCTGAACATGGGTGGAATATTGCCCAGGAAAGAAGAGAAGAATTTATCATGACTAAAAGAAAGACTGTCAATGATGAAGCCCTGATTAGTGTTCTGAGGAAGTGGGAGGATGGGATATAGGGCAGTTGAAAGGAAATTATTCCAGTTGATAACTTGATGGTCCACTGTGGGTAGAGCAGTTGGAGGAGATGTGGCAGGCAGGTTTACTCAGTTCAAGGGCATTAGATAAGTCAAGGCTATAAGAGAACATGTGGACCCATAGGTAAAGTGAGATTTGCAGATCTTTGAAGTTCATATTTATTCATTTATTTTGCTGAAAAAGCCATGACATTCAGTGGCTTGTGCTCTTTGGATCAGAGGGCTTCCCAAATAAGAGGAAAGTTCTGGTATATTGGCAATATTGATTTTATAATTCTCTCTGTATGCCTGTTTGTTCCAAGGTCTTGAAAATGATTTTGTCAGTAAAATTCTCTGTGTGGTTATGTCTATTGGTCTAGACTATGAGGGCACAGGGATAGTATCCTCCTTTTTTCATTCATTTAAACATTCAAAATGCATCGCTCTCTGCTGCAGGGCAGACCGTTTGATAGTGCAGAGTACATTTAACTGGTAAAAGTAGTCTCCATGTGCCTAGTTATACATGGGAGATAAAAATGTAGGCTTCACCATAACATGTGAATAAAATAAAAACTCTTCACTTTGCATCATATACTGGTTTTATGCTCTACATATTATGTTTAATACTCTCAATAGTCTCTTCCCTGTAGTCGTTGTACGTGCCCCCACATGTATACAGATAGTCATAATTTATCGGCTACTTCTGGGTCTGTCCTAACTCTGCCTGCTCTTCGATTTTCATAGTCATGTGATCCCCACACAATGCAGAGAAGAACCCGCCATCTGCTGAGGCCCTCGCTGAGCTCAAGGACATGTGCTGAAGACTCCCAGGTGCGGCCTTGCCTCCTCAATGAAAATTGCTTCCAGTTCCAGTACAATCTCACAGGTACAGTAGAAATCCACAACCATGCCATTTTCCCTAAACATTGACTAATGGGAGAACGCGTGTTTTCATTCTCCAGATTAAGAAAGAACTGATGGTAGAACGTGTGAGCATATTACATGAATGGCTGAGGACTTGACATTTCCAATGTCCATTTACAGAAAGAAATGCCCACTCTTGGCATGTAGATTCAGCAAGGCCACATGAAATCTCTGAATTCAAAGACACTTGGCAAAGCTGCAGAATATAAATTGAATTAAGCCATGATAAATTGAAACAAGAAAAATAAGTAGCAGGGGATAATTTACCATTGAGGAAAGACTGTAAACATTCTGTCATAGAATTTAACTCTTTTGGGGCCTTTATTACTTCAAGAAAATCAAGCTTATGATGGACTTGCTCTGTGTGTCTCCATAAGCCTGAATGCTACAGAATTTTCCTGGGTACCACAGTGCTCAGTGTCTAACACCAAAGACTGTTTGTTGGCTTGCATTGATGTGCTACCCGCCATTCCCTGCAGTAGCAGATATACATAATACCACAAAATGTGGAACCATGTTAAGTCTCAGCATTGAATTTAATACTGACAACCAAACTACCACAAGCCTGCAGAGGCAAAGTGACAATGGCCTTTTCTGAAACAAATCCCCCACTGATGTTCCAGTGGCACTGCTGAGATTTCTCATGTAGAAAACCTTGTAGTGAATTCTGTGGGGCTGTCTGATTGTCTTTATTGGTGAAAGATGACTTAGTGTTTCTGTCCTTTTTCTTTAGTTAAAGTTTCTTCAGATCCTTGGTTTTCATAGTAACTTTTCAGAAATGCAATTAAATTTGCTTTATTGGAAGAGCATGTCTTTAAAACCCTGATTTTATTATACAAGGGTTTGCTATTCCTATTAAACTCTTAGATCTTCTACCAAATATGAAAAATCTCCTTAAACATGTTCTCATTGTATGTGATCAAAGATCTTCCTTTATACCCACTCCAACAATAAAAATTTTAAGAAGTATTTTAACTATGGGAGAACTTATTCTACTCTCAGTTGTCTACTTTGTAATGCAACTAGCCAAATCTATAACACCTTCTCTCATGAGAGAATATTTTGAGAAAATGAGTGTTTTGGGGATAGTCCATATAGTTCTGAATACCTTGAGCAGGTTCCTTTTTGGGGAACCTCACTTGGCTTCACTGTACCAAATGTTTAGATGATTACATTTGTTCCTTGAAAACATTTTCAAGTTTACCTCCAAGACTAGCATCATTTCTAAGTTATTTTCTCTCTCAATTACCCCAGAAAACAGATGGTTCCAAACGTTTTCCTTTGCCATCCTGGTTAGTGTCTTTACTTTTCTACCCAGCCAACTGTGTGGTGGTTTCTAACAAACATTTGGCTTTTTACCTCAAGAAAGCAAAGTTAGGAAGGTAACTCATTTTTATTAATTTATTTAATGGTTTTTCAATAAAAAAATTACATGACGCTTTTTGAAGCTACCTGGAAATGGTTTTAGGATTATGTGCACAGTATCCTTCTCCAGCAAGCAGGTAATCAAAGGTTTATTGTATTTTGCTCACATGCCATAATTTTGAAACTCAGTGTGGTGATTTTATGCCTGCAGAGTGGAGCACATGCCAGCTGAGTGAAAATGCGACCTGTGGGCAAGGTGTCAGGACCCGCCTTCTGAGCTGTGTGCGCAGTGACGGCAAGCCAGTCGGCATGGACCAATGTGAGGAGGTAATTTGTTTATATTTGTATCTTTGTTTTTCTTAATATTGGTCTGCAAACTCCACAGAGCTGGATATAAATAACAGATCCTGATTTCTTTTCATCACAATTTAGGTTCCGTTAGAGTAATTGTACTAGTGTAGTACAGTTATCTCTCACTAGTTTGAATTTAGTCAAAATGACTGGGAAAGATCATTTTGAGCTGGGGAAATGGGTTCGTTAAAATAATATATATATATATATATATTATGACTTTTAAGAACTTATTTAGATGTACTTGCTGGCCAGCAAACTATTAACATCAGGTGATTTGAATATTTAGATATGATTCCTTGTATTGGATAGGTGATTCATTTGCATATGTGACCATATCTCTTGCATATCAGATGAAAGCTGACGATTGATATTAGAATAATCTGCCAATTTGCTTAATATATGATTGTTAATTAGTACAGTTGTATTTTTCTTCTCAAATGCCTCCCTACCAAGTTTCATATTACTGAGTTCTGAATTCTTGTAATTTTATTGCCCCCTTTTTTCCCATGAAAAACTATATGGAGTTTGGGCAAAAACTATTCCAAAAAAACTGGCATTTCCTTCCCAATGTATATGTGAATAGCACTATGGGGAAATTTTAATAGAAATACATATGACCATATGCTGTCACACTAAAGAATCACTAGACAATATTTGAAATAAGTTGAAAATACAAGACCAGTTAACTCAGGTTACCACAGAAACTGTTTTAAAAAACTTGTAAAATAAAAGTTGTCCCATTTCTCCTAACATAGGTAAGGTCCACAAAGGGAAATTAAAATCAAAACAAAACCTTTCTCACCTATCCTGATTTAACCGTATTAAGTACTATCACAACATGCTCTCTAAATCACCAGTATAGCCACAGACCAACACCAACTCTGAGACCAAACCACCTGAAGTTGGATGAAATCTGTTCAGTTTGGTGAAATCTGAAACTGGCTAATACAGGGCACAGTTCTGTCTATCAAGAATCAGTTATTTATTTTAACACTTTATTTCATGTGATCTACCTCTCAAGACATTGCCTGCTTCAGGAAAATTAAATAGCCAATATAGAGCAACTCCAAATAAGTGGAAATCTTATACTCAGTGCATATAATAAATGTTTTCTTTTGATACAAAGAAAGATATAAACTATTCATTAATAGAAAAATCAGTCTCTCTGCTTTCCAAATGCCATATGTCCAACAAATATATAAAGGATATTAGTTTAAAGAAGTCTCAAATTATTAACCTAACTATATTTTTAATAGATCATAGAGCTCATATGGTAATTTCCACTTTGGCCACTTGTCAAATAATTGTGCTATAATCATTCATTTTAGCTTAGTGTGGAAATTGCTAATATTTAACATGTGTTCAATGTCGAAGCTTTCCTATATAAGCACACAGAGTGTAATTCTTAGAGCAGAATTTTTCGTTATTCTTTCTGTTTCTTAGATAATTTGTTTTTTCACTAAGACCTCTTCTACCTTGATCATTAGAAAATTTGTAGATTTTGCCTAGATACAGGTTTCAGAGAGGACGAGAGGAAAATGAAGGCCGTGATTATGTTTTTAGTATAATTGGTATTTTCTATGAACTTTAGATGGGTTGTTGGTTTGGGTTTTATTCTTATTTATTTTTCAGCCTAGCTAGCTGTTAGTTTTGATTTCTATATGTACCACTGGCCCACCCAGAAGTGCAAGGAGCCTGAATTAGCACTACGCCCTCCTCCTGGGTACTTGCTGGCTGAGTGACAGGACAGATCTCTGTCATGTAACCACCTGCTTTCCCAGTACCCTAATTGCAGGTCTATTCCAACATTTATAAAAAAAAATTTGGGCTAACAAGTTTTGATTTTGTGACGTAAGGATGGCCATTTTCTATGATTGCCACCAATTTACATAAGGAAGGATCTTTTTCCCCACAAAAATGTGGAAAGATTATCATCATAGAATAAAAGGTACTTTTCCCCCATAAAAGGATAGGGATTTAATTTGATGTGTATATGACTTCTCCAGTAAGATCCTCCTTTATTTCCATCTGCAGCGTCACTTGGAAAAACCCCAGAGAATGAGCGTTCACTGCCTGGTGGAATGTGTGGTCAACTGCCAGCTTTCAGGGTGGACAGCTTGGACAGAATGTTCACAGACTTGTGGCCATGGAGGTACCTAGGTTCTCTATGTTGTTCCCACTAAACAATTTAGTTTTTAAATACCTTCCATTATGCTGTAGCTTGACGAATGGGAATTAGGCATGTTGGCCTGCTGAAGGCAGCATGAGGCTGACCCAGAGGAGAAGAGAAAGAACTGGCCTCACAGAATCAGTCCTTTAAGCCATTTACCAAGAACTGACTTGGTCACTGCAGCAGACGCCAGAGGAGCTGCTGGCCCTGTGAGCCAGTGTTTATTCAAAAGGTCATAAGGTCAACTCATCCAAAAAACTGGCCACTGTGTCAGGTAAACACCCAAATCACAGTGACTTGACATTATAATCTAGGGACTAATTTCTAATTTTTCACTCACATAAAGGGTGAGTTTCGGCTTCACAAAGTCAATCAGTGACACAGTTTGATGGAGGCTCTACTTTAACCAAGTTTCTCTGGAGGGTGATACCCTGCTGGCTCTGTGGAAGTTTTGGTGGACCAGGTTGGAAGTTGCATACATCTCTTCCATCTATATTCTACCAGACAAAATTTAGTTCCATGTCCCCAGCTCAATGCAAGATGGTAGGGCAGGAGATGTAGTTTCTGGGTGACCAGTCACTTCTCAGCAACAGTAATGGGGAAAGGAAGCGTGAATCTTTGGTGAACAGATAACAATTACTTCCCACGTTCCAGGTATCTCAGTGAGTAAGTAATGCATAATGGCAGTGAATGCAGAAGGCAACTGATACTCAGAAGCTAGACAAATGGAAACATAGATGGCATTCCAGCTGTCAGGTTAAAGTAGGGACCGAGACATGTAGCCACGTTAGAGACTGGAACAAGAGCATAACAGGCACACATGGAGCTGTGGTTTATGAAGGACTCTATTCCTAAAAGGGAGTTGCAATTAACCACACGGTAAATAAATGTCAAAAAATTGGAGTAGGGACCTAGAGAGAAATCCTGTTATATGGCGAGACACTAAGCAGGGGGGAAAAGGGAAGAAGAATTCCAAGTTGGATGAATCATAGAATCAGGGTCAGAGAAGGGCTGGCAAGTCCTGGATCTGATTACCAAACAAAGATATTTGGAAGCATTGTTTTAGAAGTCCTGTGACTGGGCCATTAGAATATTGGCTCATTTCTAAGCTACTCACACATGAAGGTGTGGGGGTTGTTGATAATGCTCTGCCTTAGCTGGGATCATCTGAGGAACTGAGGCAGGGTGCAGCCTGGGAGGGGGCTCCTCTGTAAACTCAGCTGTTAAGATCCTGGGGAGGGCAATGCTGAGAACAGTAGCCAGGATATACATCAGGAAAATGAAAACTACTTCTGCAAAGGGCATCATTCAAAATGAAAATGTAGGAATCACAATGTTTAATAAGAAGAACATGTCATTTCCTGCTCAATAGGAGCCTGAAAAGAACCACAGAAAACCAAATGGTAAGTCTTAGGATCGAGATTTTACTGATTCCCCAAATTTTCTGATAGGCAGCATGGCATAGTTTCCAGTTGGGCATCCACTGTAAAGTTGGGTAGATCTAGGTTCAAATTGCAGCTATTGAAGCAAATTACTTAATCTTTCTGAGTCTCAGCTTCTTTCTCTATAACATGGAATCCACGCACATATGAGAGGCCTTGTTTTGGGTTTGAAAATGAAATCACGTGTAGTCTATGGAGGCACCTAGCACAGTCACTGACACGTCCTAGGTGTTTAGTTTGGTTAATTTCCATCTCCATATTCCTGCCCACCATTAGTAGAGAGGATTATTGGAGACTCCCTAGGGTCTTTTAAAGATTATTGCATAGACTCAGCCACTTTCATCTCCCACTCTCATAGCTTATCCTTTTACCTCACTGAAAATCCATGTGCTACAGTCATAGCCTAAGTGAAAATTTTAAAACGCAAATCTGAACAATTGTTTTCCTGTTACTTAAAATTTATTCATCAATTCATTTTTCCTTTAAGCAAATATCGATGTGCCAGTTAGAGTTCATTGTGTTGGGGATACAGCAGTGGAGGGAAAGAAAGATAATTTCCCTGTTCTCATGTAGCTTGCAATGTACTTGAGAGAAAATAGAGAGTAAATAAAGAAGTAAATAGGTAATGTTGCACATTGATGAGTTCACTAAACACTCATACAAATGAGAAGTGTTATTCACTTTGGTGATGCCTTTCATCAAACAACTAATTCCTCTTCTGTCCAGTGACCCACCCAGGTTATAACCCACAGCCATAAATACTTCAGTCTTGTGTGCATGGGCCTCTGCTGGGATGTGTGACTCTCATAATGGTAAAGGATAGCATGGAAAAATAGAGAAAGGACGAAGTCCTATATTGTCAGTGTGATCAACAAGGACCTGCAGGATCCCACTCGTGCCTGCCTCTCTATCCCCATCTCCCTCCATGGTCCTGTTGGCCCTCTGTGCTCCAATGTACCATATTTCAGTCACATCCTTGAGTGCGTACTTCCACCTTGGCACCTTTCCTCAAGTGGAACATCTCATCATCACTCCCACTACTGCCCCTACTACTGTTATCAGACATGAATTGATTTTTAATGGTTGTTTCTCTAAGGGGCCAAAGACTCTGTTTGGGTTCTTCATGGGTGAATCCTTCAGTTCCCATGAAGCACAGTCTCTGGCGCATTGGAGGAATTTCTGTTCATATTTGTCATTGCACAGGTGGGTTTGGACCATAGGGAAAAGCTTGAAGGGGATGAGCTTGCCAATTAGATCACAATCCCAGAGGCAGCAGGCTCCTGCCGGCGGCTGTTTCCCCCTCCTCCTAACTAAATACATAAATCTCAGGTACCATTACCCAAGAATGTGTTCAATGCAAGGAGACTGAAGATCTGTTTGTTATTAATTTTGCTTGAAAGTCCTAATTCTATCACTGTACCAAGCCAGTGAAACATGATGGATTGACATATTTATGCTAATATACCACCTTTAAAAAGAAGAGCCCAAACTGTAAGTTTAATATTAAAATATCACTTTAAGTTTTCAAGCTGTTCTGTTAGTGATGTGGACTCATCAGACCCCGCTTGTCTACTATAAAAACAAAAACAAAACAAACAAACAAAAAACCTTCCAATTCTCAATTCTGCTATTGGAGAATTCTAGGCCATTCGAGTCTGAACTTAAATTCACTTTTGCTAATCCTTAGAATAATAAACAAAGACAAATAATCAAATATTTTCTGAGGAAAACCATTGTGTGAACTAAGGCACAGGGAAACTAGGGAAGGAGTGTTAACTACTGGAGAAATCAAGTTGTGTAAAGCGCTTAGAAATCATCTACATTTTATTCCTTGGCACAGAGATACGGCACTGGTTATAATCACCTCAAGTTAGTGTCTAATGGTCTAGTACAGGGGTCTGCAAACTACAGCTCGCGAGCCACATGCAGCTCTTTGTGTACATTCCATCTCAAAAGTTTGCCAACCCCTGGAAGAGCCAATCTTGTCCCTCGAAGTTTTGCGAGACCTATAAAACAAATGAAATCACCATTATGTGAATTATATTCTTTAAAATTTTTATAAATGAAACTATGATAGTTTTATTTTCATTTTAGAGCCACAGTTATGTCCCCAAAGAGCCACATGTGGCTCACGAGCCCCTATGTGCCAACCCCTGGTCTAGTAGGAGAACTTCTTGGGAATCCTTTCCTGACCCTTAGCTATCTTGGTCTTCTGAACTGTCAGATGTGATAACGCCTTTTACAAAATAGTCCATAATCCCAATATCTGACAAACCCTCCAGTGCTCTGCTCTAAATGTATATGCATTTAATTTTTCATTTATTCAACAAGGATTTATAAAGTTGACATCTGTTATTCTGACACCTAATGGTGTCCTCTTTCATTGTCAAAAGTGGCAGTGTGAAAAATAAATTATATGGCGACCCTGTATTTTGAGATCTATTCTTGAAGGCAGGACTGTAGAAGAAATTTATTCATATACATCACAAATACGCATTGGATGCTTTCTGAATGCCAGGAGCTGAGGATATGCTGTGTACGGAACAGATAAGATCCCAGGGAAATGAAGTCTCTTGACTTTATAAATTTAATATTCTAGTGGAAAATTAGATGGTGATGACAAGACAGAGAGACAGCAAATCAACAAGTAAGTAAACACCAAAATGACAGATGCCGATGAGTGCTACGATGAAACAAAAACCGTTCATGTGATAGAGAATAATATGTATCTTGCAGGGAGTGAGGGATGGGGAAAGGCAGGCTACTGAGGAGGTGATATTTATGTGAAAATTAAATGACAAGGTGCCATAGCTCTTATAATTGTTGTCTTCTCTGCTAGCTACTCAGAGTTTAATCTCACAAGCATTTTTTGACTACCTGTTGCATTCAAGGTTCTGTTAGGATCTACAGACAAAAATATAAAAATGAGTATGTCTAGTTATATTTATTTGTGCCCAACCTCAATCTTAAAAATCTAAAGCAGTACAGAAAAGAATAGGACTCATGGCATTCACATTCTAAAGCACCTATTCTCAGGACTCTGCTGAGACACCTTTATGGAGTAGTATATTATCCCTCATCAGCCCCCAAGCTGCTCCCCACTCCAACCTTCCCGCTCTCATCTCACAGCACCACTCTTCTCTGATCATCACCCACCTGGCAGATAGTAATGTTTCCCAAACGAGAGTATTCTGTATTTAAATCATGCCTTAATCCTCATGCAGTGCCATTTAAAAACAACATACAAATGATAATCAAAAGCAGAAATGTATGGCACAGATGAACTAGTTTCTTAAAAGAGACCAAACTGAAAAGGTTGGAAGCTATCGTGGAGAAGCCTCTGAGGTTTCTCTTCTTAGAGAGTATGCCAGCAGCTGTCTTTTTGTGCGAGCCACTTTTTTTTTTCCAACTGGTTGTGTGTGTCAATGGGGCAGAGACCACAAGAGGAGATAGTTTATTGAGTCACATTAAATGGGCAAGCGAGTTCCATGGAAGTCTGACTAAAGCACCTGCAGTTCTCTGCTGACTTCTTCATCAAAG